CGCAGGATGGATCAGATCTGTGGATTGAACATAATAGATCATAGTCCGATTCGTTATCCTTCCCAATCCGCAGATCCGATCCATCCTGCGGGGATTGCCAGCTTGCAACCTATACGGGATTAACTGATCTCTCCACGAGCTCCACAAGTTGTAAACCAAGCCCCCCTTTCTCTCCGCTCTCTCTCTCTCTCTCTCTCCCCCCCCCCTCTCTCTCTCTCTCTCTCTCTCTCTCTCTCTCTCTCTTTCTCCCCCCTCCCCCCCCTCTGCCTCTCTCTCTCTCTCTCTCTCTCTCTCTCTCTCTCTCACTGCCTTCTTTCTCTCTTTTCTCTCACTGCCCTACCCCCCCCCCCCTCTCTCTCTCTCTCTCTCTTATCTCTCTCTCTCTCTCTCTCTCTGCCCTCTCCACCCTCTCTGCCCCCTCTCTCTCTCCTTCTCTCTCTTCTCTCTCTGCCCTCCCCCCCTCTCTGCCCCCCCCCCTCTCTCTTCTCTCTCTCTCTGCCCTCTCCCCCTCTCTTTCCCCATCTCTCTCCCCCCCTTCTTTCTCTGCCCTCTCCCCCCTCTCTCTCCCTTCTCTCTCCCCTCTCTCTCTCTGCCTTCTCTCTCTCTCTCCTTATCTCTCTCTGCCCTCTCCCCCCCCTCCCCCCTCTCTATCCTCTCTCTCTCCCCCCTCTCTCTCCCCTCTCTCTCTCTGTCCTCTTTCTTCCTCCCCTCTCTCTCTCCCCCCTACCTACTACATGAAGCTGCAGTGCTGTCACCAGGGTTGGGGGATTACACTGACGTGCTGCATACTCTGCCCGCCCCTCCAGCTCTCTGACTTCAGCACCCGTGGCAGGAATGTGGACCCGCCCCTCTGCTGAAACTCAGAGGAGGAGAGGTGTCCGAAGTGCCTGCCTCACTGTCCATCCCCTCAATGCTTACTTATTTCAGAAGTGGCACATACAGGGATGGACTGAGCCTCTCATGGGGCCCTGTAGTGACCCCGGGCCCTCAAGCAGGCAGTGCCCGAATGGTCAGTCTACCCCTTGTGGAGCGGGTCCGGTGTCACCCCTTGGAAAAGGTTTCACCCGGTGCGGCACCTGCCTAGGGACGCCCCCTGTGCAGTCCTCATGTGCTAACAAGGAGGATGGTGATAGGAGCGAGTAGAATGAAAGAGAAATAAGCTCAGCAGTCTGCTTCATTTGTACCTGGACTGGGTGGACAGAAATAAAAATCATTTGGCACAAAAAATAGTCTCGTATAAGCAAGTATAATATTACCCCATTACGCCAAGGCTTTATTTTGTTTTATCTGGAATTAAAAGTGGTAAACATCTTGTTTATGCAATCTCACATAATACCAAAGTATTACGGCCTAGAAAAAAAAAAAAAACAATTTAGTAGTAATTTGCAGAAAAAATAGTTAAAGTTGTCAATGTAATCATTTTTGTTTTGCTCTGCTAGAAAGCCTTGCAATTTTGTCTAATTAGTTCAACAGAGACTAATTATTTTTCATCATGCATGTGTACAACTACAGGTTAATTGCTTGTTTTAAATGTTAAGTGTCCAGTAAATGATTTTCTTCCATGCAGTTATGCTGGAGGTGGCACAACTAAAAGAGACCCATGCTAGAAGCAAACACTCAAGGTCTTATGCAAGAAATGCGTATTGTTGCTTATTAAAGTGTACATGTTCTGATGTGTTTCTTAGCAAACCAGAACTTAGACAGACTAGTAAGTGCTCCCCCCCCAAAAAAAAATAAAATCAGCCTTTTTCCATAGCGTCAACAGAAACCCCTCAAAACATGAGAAATATACAAAAGCATGTGAAGTGGTTTTGCATGTACTTATTCACATAAATCTAATCTTTCCTGTAATTAAAGCTCTCCATCATCAAACTCCAGGTATGATCTTTATTGCATACTTACTTTTGTCCAGTTTAGACCTATGTAAGTATGCATAAATCAAACCTGAGGGTGAAGCTACAGTGATACCCATGATCTTCCAGGCCTATGCCGAATGGCCTTCCCTCTGTACACTGACCACCAGGTTTATCTCACTTGTTTGGCACTATTGCCATTCACAAAGTGCCTTGTATTTTTTTCTTTGAATACAAGGTGTTCTTTGATTGGAGCAGGTGAATATGGTGACATCATCACCCTCCTCTCCACCTCATCCAAATAGAGATAATCTTGTATTCATTGAAAAAGTGCAAAAAGGATCATACTGCATTAGGAAAACCAAGATTCCTATGTCATTTCCCCCAGGTACCAGGTGACAGTATTCAGGCCTGGCTATTGGCTGCTAAAGCACGGAGCATTGTGTTGATAGGAAGCAGGAAGAGTCCTATGGGATTCCCCATATTTCTAAGGTGGCTTGGGTAGGAAGTTTGAGGGACCCTGCCACTAACTTAAAACTTCAGGTAAAAGCATAGAAAAACAAAATAGTTAAAATAATTAATTTCAGAGTTTTCTTCTTTTTTTTAAAACAATTTTTGTATTCACTTTCAATGTGCCTTTGAATTTGGTAGACAATTTTGACTTCTAAGGAAGAGTCAATTTCCTTAGGGCAGCCCTGTCCCCCCTTGAAGGTCATGTTTTTTCCTTGTCTTGAAGTGCTGTACTGTTTTTTTGCTACCCCTTTCCCTCTCCTCCCTACATACAGTGGGTATAGAAAAGAATTCCCCCCACCTTTATAATAATCACAGCCTGAAATGAAGACAGTTTTTGTTTTATCCAGCTGTATTTACTCAGTGCAACTTATAATGTCCAAGTGAAAGATATAACACCAACATGTCAGAAAAAAAACAATTAAAAAACAAAATCACTGAGTTGAAAAAGGATCAACCCCTCTTAACCTCCCTGGCGGTATGATCATGTCAGGAATTTTGTGCTGAAAGCGGTACCATTTTTTTGCATGGAAATATGTAGTTTTTAATTGTAGGCTGTAATTTTTAGGAATAACTCACTGAAATCTATCCGAAAAAGAGTCTATTAAACATTCCGGATATGATAAAACTTGAAACACGAAATCATAAATTATAATTTAATAAATAATCATAAAAAATAATAATATAATAATAATAAATTTAATTCAATAATATAATCAAACCAAAAACACTGAAATTTGAAATACAGAGGCAAATTCGCACATCGCTGAGCAAAGTCGCAAAATCGTTTTCAGTGTCTGATGACGAATTTCCCCACAAATCATTATCACTCAATTCTGCAAGTGGTTCTGATTTACTATCGCTGTTCTAAAACCGCATTTGATGTAAAGAGATGCTTTTTTGGCCGCCATGGACTTTTCTAAGTTTCCAGGCAGAAAGAACAGTCAAAATGCAGGCAGGGCACAGGACAAAGCAGTAGGGACAAAATGTATGTGAAATGCAGTGAAAAAGCAATGACAGCAAAAATGTCATTTTTTAAAAATTTCAAATTTCCCGCCGGTTCCGCCGCCCGAACGTTCCGACGTCACGGGGACCGGAACACGGAAGCCAGATGCCGGCATCCGCCGGAGGAGATGGACGGGAACGCTGCAGGGGACCCATCGTGGGAGCGAAGGACAAGGTAAGTGCTGCAGGGACCCCCAGAGAACGCTGCATGGTAAGCCCGAGTGTAGCTCGGGGTTACCGTTCTTGGTATAGAAATTCTACCCCGAGCTACACTCGGGAAAACCGCCAAGGAGGTTAAAAATGACTTGTAAACTCAATCAGATGTAGCTAATCACCTCAATGGCACACAAAGCCATTTGAATTTCAACTGTGATCAGCTGTGGTCATTTTGATTAGTTCAGTGTGAAAAGAGCTTTTCTGGAGCAGTCCCTGGTACTGTAACTGAAACAAACAATCAACTATGGGTGGCAGGGCAATATCAAAAGATCTCTGAGATAAAGTTGTGGAAAGGCACAAGTGAGGAGATGGATTAAAAAAAAAATTCAAGGGCTTTATCAATGTATGGAAGCACAGTAAAGTCTATTACTAAGATGCGGAAGGTATTTGGTACAACACAGACCCTCCCTGGATCAGGACATCACTCCAAACTGGATGAAAGAGCCAGGAGGAAACTGGTCTGAGAGACTACCAAGAGGCCTACGGCAACTCTGAAGCAGTTGCAGGAATTTATAATAAAGAGTAGTCATTGTGTGCATGTCGCAACAATATCACAAATTCTCTACAAATGTTGCATGTATGGGAAGGTTACAAGAAAGAAGCCACTCCCCAAAAAATGCCACATGCAATGTTGCTAAAATGCATCTTGAAGATTCTGAGGCCACATTCCTACAGTAAAGCATGGAGGTGGTAATATCTTGTTATGGGGTGTTTCTCTGCAGAAGAGCTTGGAGCATTTGTCAGGATATAAGGAAAAATGTATGAAGCAAAATATCGTCAAATTCTTGAGAAAAATCTGCTGCTCTCTGCCAGAGAGTTGTCAATGGGAAGAAGGTTTACCTTCCAACATGCACACAGCAAATATGACCACACAGTGGTTGAAGGAGAAAAAGTGGAATGTCCTTGCATGGCCTAGTCAGAGCCTAGACTTAAATCCGATTGAAAATCTGTGGAATGACTTTAAGACTGCAGTCCACAAATGGTCACCATCAAATTTAACTGTACCTGAGGAGTTCTGCAGAAAAGAGTGGACAAATATTGCAAAGTCTAGATGTGCAAAGTTAGTAGAGACATATCCCAACAGACTAAAGGCTGGAATTAAAGCAAAAGGTGGTTCAACAAAATACTGACACAAGGGAGTGATCCTTTTTCCAACCTAGTGATTTTGTTTTTTTATATTATTACTCTTAGATTGTAAGCTCCCAGGATCAGGGCCCTCCTAACCCTCTTGTATTGAACTGTATTGTTGCTGTATTGTCTCCCATTATATTGTAAAACGCTGAGCAAACTGTTGGTGCTATATAAATCCTATATAATAATAATATTTTTTTTTTTTAATTTTTTTTCTGACATGTTGGTGTTATATCTTTCACTTCGATTTTCTAAGTTGCACTGAGTAAATACAGCTGGATAAAGCAAAAACTGTATCTGTCTCCATTTCAGGCTGCAAAGCAACAAAAAGTGATTATTTTAAAGGGGGGTGATCAGACGTGGACTGACAACTCATGGGGCCCCAAGGCAATAGGGGATCATGGGGCCCCTGTGTCCTTTCCCAAACTCAAAAAAGCCTATGAAAAAGGTACCAGGGGCATCTCATGGGGCCCCCTACAGTGCCCGAGTTTCCAAATGGTCAGTCCGTCCCTGGGGGTGATTATTTTCTATACCCACTGTACATATGTAGTAGGGGGTGAAGGGGAATACTATAGTGTGTCACTTGAGTCTGCTGACTTTGCATCCAAGATGGCAGTACCAAACAGCAGGGCTTTTTGGATGTCTACACAAAGGAGGTTTTACAGGTACATAACATTCCATGAAATGTTAAATACACAGATATCTGTAGGGAAGATTATTGCTGAAATTAATAGTTTGGCAACAGGGTCTCTGACAACACGTACTATAAGGAGTGTCCCACACAGATGGTAAAAAATTGGTACAATATACACAGAAATGCCAAACCATTCAAGACATAAATGGTTCTCTTCCGAATAATATACAGTACTCCATGCCTGAAAGAGAGCCAATTACAGCTTGGAACCTTATGGCTTTTATGGAGAATGTTACACTTTGCCCTATGATGGCTCCAAATAAAAGAGCTTTACTGAATCTAATAAAAGAGATGTCCTGTAGTGCAGATCAAATTATGATAAAAAGGTCTTTGACTTATGACTTTAAGAACTTCCCCAATTCCTCTCCCTGTGACACCCATCAGAGATAGGAAGTGCAGGAAAATCTGCCTAATGGAAACCCAGGCAGCAATAAAAACGTTACATATGTTCTAACCTTTCTCCACAAGCAGATGCTGGACACTGTTGAATTATCGACCTCAGCCTCTAGGAGGCATTAAAGGTCAATCTTGCAAAACATACTGTTTTGCTTAATTAAATAGCAGGCACCTAGGAATGAGTGGTGAACCCCATTGAAGTCTACGGGAGGTGAAACTGGCTATTTGTTTATAGCAACAAATAATTTTTTTTAGGCTAATAGGCAATCTATTGTTGAAAAAAGGGCATAAGGAGCTGGGCATTGCCATGGGGGACATGTATCAATGCAAACAAACTTTAAAAAATGTTCTTCATTGAGAACAGCATCTTTTAATGTGGCAACATTGAAAATACACAGATCCTTTCCAGTTATACTAAACCCAGGACCCTGCATTCACTTCAATTCACTTTCATTTAATGTTATTGAAGTATGAGATTGCAAAATATAGAGATGATTCTGACAAGAGGCTATGTGGCACCAAGTTGACCCCACAGCCGAGATCTTGATAGACTGGGGACAAGTGAGCATAAAACTGGCTAGAGACTGAAAGTGCATTTCCAATTTAAAGTGACATGGCCGTGCTTTCACCATAAAATGCTGTATGAAAGACAATGGCAGATTAAGGTTAGGATTAAAGTGACACTAAAATCTTATTTTGAAAAGAAAAAAAATCAATTGCATTCTTCAGTTTAAAAATGTGCACTGCTCATTCCAAACAAAGCAACGTGGGGGAAAAGGTGAAATTTAGGAGCCCATGGAGAACATTTTATAAATACAGGTTATAGGGCTATTAAAAGTGTTATTAAACCCAGGACCCTGCAATCACTATATCTAATCTCACATAGCACACAGGACATGGAAATGCAATTATTTTAGTAAATATAAACTATATATCTTTTCTCATCAGCAGTTAGAGCAGTCTTGTGACTTCTATCAGTGTCCAGCAGAGCACTGGTTACAGCTTGTTGGAGGAGTTTTCTTTCTGCTCTAGGAGGATGCAGAACCTCTGGACAGTGCTGATTGACCCTGTGCTGATCACATGCACTCTCCCATGAAAAAAATCTTCTCTAGCAATACACACCAAACTGAGCATGTGCAGAGTGTGTTTTATCAGGAGATAAGAGGGGAAGAAGGGGAAGATCAGAGACATCAGAATCAAACAGAATGTTTACACTATGCAGAGGATTAACCCCTTCAGTTCCACAATGAGTATACAAGCATGCTTTATTGCATATACAGACTGATTTTACTGTTGTGGGTTTAGTGACACTTTAAAGTCTAACTCTGAGAAATCAATAGAACTGCTTGTTTCAATCTAGGGCAAAGTAAAAGAATTTTACCTACCCAATCATTCGCTCTACTGGCAGTCAGTGATCCTCCATGCTGCGGCAGTGGTTTGTCCATTAGTGTCATCACATCAAATGCAGGGCTATGGACTCTGCATTGGTCTTGATGACATCAGAACCTTAGACTGTTAAAGCATAGAGAGAAGACACTACGGGGGCTAGTCTAGCGGTGTTGAGGAGCAGAAGGATCCAATAAGTATATCTTCTTTTCTATGCCCCCTAGACCTAAATGACCAGTTAATCCATGCAGTGCAGGTACATCCCTTCTTTCAGGAGGAATCTTCAAGTTTTTTTGAGTCTTAAATACCTTGCATGGGGGATAACCTAAAGCTGCACATAAAGTTACGGAGCAGTACAATGAAGTCATTGTAAAGCAAAGGTAAAAATTTAAAAACTAAACACCAAAATTCCAATCATGCAGCATGGGTGACCAGGAAAGGGCAGCGAGTGTTCCCCCTCCTTCCTATATGATACCAGGCCATAGTCCCAACATTGGGAGGTTACCTTCAAACGGGGGGTGGCCAAGTCTTCCTCCCTTTGCAAAGCATCTTGTCCCAAAGTTGGGGGACAAGGGAATCTTCCTCGCATCTGGTCAAAGGATGTGAGGATTTGTGTGTTGTGTGAGGACCCATAGAAATCTGGAAGCCCTTTTTAGAATGGGGGGGGGGGGGGGATATCCAGGTCTTCCCAAGGGAAAGAGTCACCAAGCTGCTAACAGGCTAGATTTGGGTTATATATGACAGCTGACAAATGATTGGAAACCACTCTGATTGGTTAACTGGGGAGCCGGCAGCTGTTACTTCATAGGGGAGAATATTTAATAATTTATTCTCAGCATGGGGCAAAACTGTTTGCATCTCTAGACATAGCCAGGTTTCCCCCATGGATTGTTTGCCTTTTTGAAATTTTATTGGGTTATTCTGCACAACTTGCAGATAGTATACAGATCACAATAAATCTGTACAGCAAACGCTGACCAAATCACAGCATCAGTGACACAAAGTATAAAAATATAATAAATATAGAAAATAAAATAAAATATTACTTACAAGTAATAGCTAATATAAGCAATAAGCATAAAAGTACAAATTACTAATATAGATGTTTAGAATTAACAACATTTATTACAATTTTAGTGAAAAAAAAATGAAACCCTTATAGGTGTGAAAATTTTAATTTGCATGTAATAATGAAACATGTATCAGAATTTAATGCAATGTAAAACAAATAATAAGACCCTGTTCAGCTAATGGTCATTAATGTATTCCATATAGATTGTAAAATAAAGAGAGAGAGAGAGGGGGGGGGGGGGGAGAGAGAGAAAGAGAGGGGGGGGCTTGCTTTACAACTTGTGGAGCTCGTGGAGAGATCAGTTAATCCCGTATAGGTTGCAAGCTGACAATCCCCGCAGGATGGATCGGATCTGCGAATTGGGGAGGATAACGAATCAAATATGATCCATTATGCTCAATCCACAGATCTGATCCATCCTGCTGGGATCGTCAGAGGGGGTGTCACCACGTGTTACCGCACCGGGTGACACCAACCCTACAGAGAGGGGGCTTGCTTTAAAACGTACCTTTTTGTGGAGCTGGTGGAGAGATCAGTTAACCCCATATAGGTTGCAAGCCGACTGTCCCCACAGGATGGATCGGATCTGTGGATTGGGGAGGATAATGAAGATAGAGAGAGAAGAGAGAGAGAGAGAGAGAGAATCTAAGAAAACCTAGAGGAAAATATTCACTTCCTGAGGATCAGGCTGTCAGATAGGGTCACACAGTACATATTAGGGGTTCCATAATTATTTGAAGTGATTTTCATTTGATGTTCTCATGGTTAATACATAATATAAGCCCCATTCCCACAAACAAGTAGGAAACTGTGATGTATAATGGGGGTGATCAGTGGAGGGAACAAGTTAATATAAGTATCTAATTAGAGACTTATAGATACATCTCCTTGAATAATGCTTAAACTGTTATAAGACAAGTTCCTGGGTACGTTTATGAAAACTGTATTTGGGCTTTGTTATATGAAGAGCCAAAGGGAATCCACTTACAACCATATTACCATCATATAAAACATATTATTCTTTGTTAATATCCTATAGAGATCAACAATAGAGAAAAATCTGCAGAACCCTGCACATATTTCATTTTTCACAATATATTACAGAAATGAATATAAATAAAGTTATCAATGTGACTAGCTATAGCAACAGTAATGCCCCATCTGCTTATGACAATATTGTTAATTATCACTAATAAAAAAAAATATCATGAAAGTTAAACACACAGCCAACAATCTTAGCTCCCCTTTTTATTTAAAGACTTTTCTTCACAGTAAGAGCTGTGAAAATGTGGAATAGGCTCCCTCAAGAGTTGGTTCTGGCCAGCTCAGTGGATTGCTTTAAAAAAGTCCTGGATTCTTTCTTGGATACACAGAATATAACTGAATACTAACATTTATAGGTAAAGTTGATCCAGGGAGTATCTGATTGCCTCTCAGGGGATCAGGAAGGATTTTTTTCCCTGCAGGAGCAAATTGGATCATGCCTTGCTGTTTCTTTTTGCTTTCCTCTGGATCAACTGTGGGTATAGGATTATAATTTTTTTTTTTTTTATGGCTGAACTGGATGGACTTTTATCTTTTTTCAGCCAGACTAACTATGTAACTATGTAACTTTTAGATCTATAAAGGCAAAGTATAAATTGTGTTTAAGGTTCAGATAAAAAAAAAACAGACACATATAGTAAAAATTGTATGGTAAAGCAGACTGCCATGTTAAAACACCTTTATGAGCAATATGAACACTCAGAATTTGAGATATACTGTATATAAATACAAGGGCTGTTTACAAAGTAATACAAAAGTGGACATAGCTTTTTTATTAATTTACAGAGGGCAATCAAATTTCACATGTTGGTAAAGTAACTTTTACTCTATAGTAACATTTTTTCATTGCAGGTAAATAATGGATTCCAAGCAGAAGGAACATTTTGTCATTGA